AAACAGAAAAGAGAGAGAAAAAAAAATTAAAACGAAACAAACTGAAGATAAAAAAAATAAAACAGACACACACACACACACACACACACACACACACACACACACACACACACCGAATACACACGTATTACAATCAGCTTATGCCTGCGAATGCATTATTAATACTATAGTCCAACATTTTAATTTTTCTTGATTTTCTTCACATTTCCTCTCGTTTTGTTTGCTGACTGTTGGTTCGTTTGTTCGTTCACAATCATATCCATTGGTATTATTTTGATGTTGCTTTAATTATTGAATTCACGTTTTGGAATTTGTTTTATTTCATTTTGTGTGTTGCATCGTCTTTATCGTCGTCGTCGCCGCCACCATCGTCGTCGTCGCTGTTGCTATTATTGTTGTTCTTCAGTAGCGTCAAGTTACTCAATACAGGCGTTACAGTGTTCGACATAGTAACGAGTACACGCATCGCAACATCAATAAAAATAATGAAATAAATTACAAAGTGGAATGAAAGAACAAACAAAGGCCCAACGAGATGAGCAAAAATGGTTTGCAGCAAATGTGAATTTAAAAAAAATCCACACGAAGAGATAGAATGAAGAGAGAAGCGAGAGAAAGAAGAGAGAAAAAACCAACCCAAGAATGAAACGATAGGATTGCGTGCAATTTCTGCAATTTTTTCTCCTCCGTTGGTTGATGCTACAACAATGCATAGACATAGCTAGGCAAACAACAATGCGGCTAATCACAATATGCATGGAAAATAACTTTTAAATAGATCATCGATTGTCAAATCAATCAAGCCTAATGGTCACCAATTAATGCCTGCGTGTTCTCTCTCTCTCTCTCTCTCTTACACTTATTCAGGCGGTGACAATCTTTTGCTATGCTTTTAATTGATTCATTAGATGACTGCTTTTAAGTAATGTTTAATAATTCATCGTTGTTGGTTCATTGAGTGGCAATCAAAAAGCCATGTTTGTGTGCTAGCATTATGCTCATTCGGAGCGTGTCATTTTCCGCCCTTTTGCTTTTAGGCCGAGTATTGACTCCATTTGTATGGGAAAACAAAATCCTTTCTTTTTTTCCCGTTGCTATTGAACTGAAAAACCATCGTTACATCACATCTGTACATGCAGTGTATGTGTGATGGTGTGTAAATCGACATTTCACCCGATGCATTACATTTTGTGGCCTCTACATTTCAAGTACCGTATACGAGGCGTTAGTTTCTCAAACGACTCGGCTCATTCTCATTTCGGCTCTTTGTACTTCATTGCGGTGGTATATATGGTGACCATATTACGTGTGTGTGTATGTGAAATTTGTCAATCTACGCCAAAAATTCACTATCGTTATTGCCGACTACTTTTCGATGTTGCAATTCTCTATGCGCTTACCTTTTGCTACTGCTCAACGAGCTACCAAAACGACCATGCCATCATCGTTTATGCGTCGTTGTTTGGCATAACGCACAAATTCAAGCTGAACCATTTCTCAATGGTTTTATTCGTTGTGTGCATGTGCGTGTGAGTTAGATTTTTTCTCTCGATTGCCGTTGTTGATATTGATGTTGTTGTTGTCATTGCCGTCTGTTCTTCCCTAAATACACACTGTAGACCGAGTCGCAATTTGTCAGAAAAGGGAATTTTCGTATTGAAGCCGTATTCTGAACAGTCGTATACCTTTTTTTATACGAATCAACTCAACGGACCCTTTTCCACATTTTGCTCCGAATTCAATTGTCAAATGCTACAATTCGAAATGTGAACATATGAAGTGCGATAGAGTGAGATGCGGCGATAGAGAGATCGAACGAGGGAAGAAGGAAAGGCAAAGCGATTGTGCGTTCGCCTATGTGTGGTATGAGACAAATCCAGAGAACTGAATGAGGTATGCGTAGCAGTTGGGTACGCAATAAACATCTCGTCATAGTACTTCATCGAATTATTTACGGATGTATTAAATTTTAAACATTCTCCACCCTATCATCTTTTTTCGGTTCGTTTTCGTTTTAATACCCTCTCGCGTGCGCTCGCTCTCGCTCTCTCTCTCTCTCTCCTTCTCTCCCTTTCGATGCAATGAAGTAATAAGCATTGCTTATAAATTTATTATTTGTTTGCGTGTAAATCAAAAGCGAAGACTCCTTGGCGAAAGACTGAAACTGATTGAATGAGCTGATGAAAAGCCAACCGAATCACGCACTGCACACAAACATAGGTGCAAGTCATTTCGATTCGATTGGTTCGGAAAATTTTCCACTGTTGACTACCGTTTAGAATGGTTTCAGTAGCAATTACTGTCACCACCACCATCACCACCGTGGCGCTACCGTGGCATGTCAAAGGCAAATTTGAAATCCTAATAAAATCTACCGAACAAAGCCAATTTGTGCAGTAGTATGTTATGAACGTTCAACACTTATTTCGGCCATCATCTTAGTTAATTGATTTTACAAAAGCCGATTATCTCATCCGCCTTTATCTCATTCAATCATTTATTAAGTTGTTTTACTGCAAACAATTGGGAAAAAAATTAACACTTTTTATATTCATCGGTCGGGCGCAATCTCATCGTATCCCATTGTTTCGCATCGCATCGCATCGACGGTTTGCACGAAGTGTGTGCGTTTTTGTTTGAAGAAAAGTTTAGCGCTGCAAAATTATTATAAAATATGGGAAACGCTTTGATGCTCAGTGGTCACAATGGGCAACAGCTTATGCAACCATTCGTTCAGTGAATCCCCCCATGTGTGTGTGTTGATATTATTATTCATAAAAAAACAAATACACTTATACATTCTTTATCGTATTTTTGTTTTGTTTTGGCGTGATGCATTCCTTGTTTTGCCACTTTTAAATCTCTTTCTCGCACTCTCTTTCTCTCTCGGACTCTCCATCTATGCACGTATGATGTGTATTATTGGTGAGGAGGCTCTCTTGTTCCTTTGTTTTCACAGTGTTTATTTGTGCTATATTCTGCACCTCGGAGAACGCGCGTATAAATCGCTTGTATTATATTGTTTGGTGTAATGCATGCCTGTGTTTGTGTGCTCTGTGCATGGTCAAATATAATATTCAAAGGCAGAAAAAATGTGTTATGGCAAATGGTATTACGCGCTACGCTTGATTAAGAACAGCCATCGTACTTGTCGAACTATAGTAATACTATGGCATCCATATCCATGCCATAGGTACACCCGATGAGTGTACTGAAGTGTTGCGTATGGTCTTATATATGCTGTGTGTACCTATATTTTACTACTCTCCTCGTCAGACTGATATATTCTGTGTGTACTTATTCCCATTATAAATGTGAACGAATGTAAGAAGAATGAAAAAACGTTTCGTCGATGGAACGACGAGTGGAACGAAGAAGGAAAAAAAACGCGCACACACAACTCAGAACGACGGGCAAGCACACTGAGGAGAATAAAACGAAAGAACGAGCGCACAAAGAACGAGAACAAGAACCGAATACGACGAAAAAAAGAGAGAGACAGCCAAAGCCATGCAATAAGAACCAACGAAAAAAGGAATAGCTCATAAAATTTTATGTATTTTTCTCGGCGTTCCTTTTTTTCATACTCGGTTTGCCAGCCAGCCAACTTCGATAAATACGTGTACGTTGTGTGTCTTTGTCGGTATGTTTGTGTGTGTGTGTTTCTATGTGGAAGTGTTTGTGTGTGCACTTTTCAACTGTCGTTGCTTTCCATTGCTTCAGCATGTATATTTTGCATCTTATTGATTATACCGAGAGCTCATAGCTGCTTGTGCCTTTGCACCGTTGAAGGCGATACAATGTGATTGTTGTTGTTGTTGTTGTTTTCGTTGTCGTCGTCGTCGTCGTCGTCGTCGTCGTCGTCACCGATGCAGCAGTACTTTGCTATTCTTTCTACTTCTTTTTCTTTCCTATATATGCTCTCTGCCTTCTCTCCATCGCATTTGTATGTTGTTTCTTATTAAATATATTTTTCATGAGGAAAAATTAAACAAGCGTTAGATTTTCTCTCTTTCACTCCTCAACTCGCTCGTCTCAACTCAATTCACTTTGTTTACAATGAAACAGAAATGTGCATAGTTTTCGCTCTCTTTGTATTCGTATATATATGCATGGCAAATGTACAGCTTTTCCAGCATAGCACACAAAACCTATATTGAATTGTTTGAATAGGAGCAAAAATGAGGACTGAACCGTACGCACAATGTGCGCTCCGTTTGTTTTCGCTCTCTCTCTCTCTCTCTCTCTCTCTTTCTCTCTCTTTCTCTCTCTTTCTCTCTCTTTCGGTCTCTTGCCTTTGCTATAACGAAGCACCAGCAAATGTGTCCATACATTCCACATATATAGGAACGCTGTGACACAAAAAGAGACGGGCAATTTTCTCTGTGTACACACAGCAAACGATTTACTGTTCAAGGGGAGTTACAGGGAAAAATGAATTGTTGTTTTTGCCTTTATCTTCATTTCAGCTTGTTCGTTTTTCACTCAACCAATTTGGTGTGTATGTTCATGAAACACGAGTATCGCTGGGTGATATATTCTACTCCATTTCATAACTCTTTCGCTTATTTTCCCTGTGTATTTTTCTCTCCTCTCATTCTGCCTTTGATTTTGTTCGTTCTTTATTGCTTCTTCTCCTTGTTGTTGGTTGTTTCTTTCTTCTGTCGGAAACATAATTATTGAATTGTTTGAATGTCTTTTTAACGCAAATGCACTAACTCCTTGAACATAATTTTAAGCACATTTGACTTAAGAACTCGACTAAATCTGCATTGTATCAAATGGCAATATGTCAACACATCAAAACACAAGCCAACGATTAATATTAGTCAGCGATTGTTGTTGATTATATTTTTTTTTCTGTGTCACTTAAAAATGTACAACTATAGCTATCGTTGTGACTCCTTGATAGAAATAGAACAAGTAGATAGATTAGATTAATGCTATTTAAACTGTCGCTAATTTGTTTTTTTCTTTCTCTTGTTTCGTCATATTTCCAG